AAGAAAATTACAACCCTAACGTAAACTTCTATTTTTACGCACTTAGTTTATTTACAAAATCGATTTCCTTTCTTGATTTGTCCTACCGGCGCAAATAAGTAAATCTGTACGTACGTACGTACATGTGCGTGTGCATGTATACTGTTACACATACGGCCTAGATATATTCGGTATAGAACAGCTTTTGGTACAAGTTATCAGTATGGCAAATTACGTTGTGTAATACTCGATTTAAATAAAGTATATAAGACGTGCATGTACGAATGTTAACAAATCTCCGAAAAAAAATCTTTTTTTTATTTTTCAATAGTAAACTGCACACCTAGTAAATGGGTTTAGTATTCCTGTAATTAAAGTAAGTAAACTGATGTATTATAATCGGATTATATTTGACTGTTTAATTAGAGTTTTGAAACAAAACCAATTGTTTAATTATGATAAAACCCGGAAAACAAATGTGTTACAGTTACAAAAACGTAGAATAATAGGCATAATTATCATAATTATATATATTTATGACAATTCTTTTTTCAAATTTTCAATTAGATATAAAGAAAGTGCAAAAGAAAAATTTTTTACATCAACTTAAAGACATCGAGAACTATAAATTATTGTTATTATTGAGTTTTCATTTATATATCTTTGAAGACATTTACAAAAAATGACACAGGAGACGACGATTCATTCTGACGAAAGTTCTACGATAAAATCTTGGAAGCATGATGATGTGTTCATAATGTCATGTGAAAAAAATGGTTGGTCTCCAAAATCAAGAAGGTTTAGTAATGGTAAATTTATTGCACATCGTCTAATATTTGATTTGATTTTTAGAGAAATAGTATGTTTTAAATTCAAGCTTTTAAAATTTCCCATATCATTTAATAGAATCTGAAGATTCGATATCTGTTGATTTCGAATTGGGAAAAAAATATCTTCAAGCTAAGAATTTTTATTTCTTTGGCGTATATGATGGGCATGGAGGTATAAAAGGTTTTACTATGTTATGTATGTTGTCCTATATCGATTTACTTGTTGACTTTATGTATTTAAATTTAGTGCATGATGCTCGTAAGATTTCAACAGGATGTTCTAAGCAGCTGCCAACAAATATTGCCAAAAATCTGGCAAAAAATCCTAGAAATGAAGAACAAAACGTTATAAATGCTATAAAAAAAGGATTTGCAGAAACGGAGCAATATATGAAAGATGGTATTTTTTATTAACTTTTGTGTAGTTTGAGATAATGATTTTTAATTGGTTTATTTTCTTAACAATTAAATTGTTTCTTTTTTAGAGCTTTCTAGAGTAGCACAGGATTCTGGATGTACAGCACTAATTGCAGTATTAACACCTTCAAAAGAATTATTTATTGTAATTAAGTTTAACAAATAATATTTTATGGTTTTGAATTTATTATAAAATTATAAATATAGTGATTATAAATCATTTTCAGGCCAATATCGGTGATTCACCCGGTTTTATTTCATCAACAAGAGTATTTTCCCTTCAAATTACAAAAGAACATGACGTACACAATAAAGGTATTTAGACATAATATTATATAATATACATATATTTTTCGATTTTAATTTTAATTTTGATAAAATTTTATTTAGCTGAAATTTTAAGGTTACGAAAACAAAAAAAGGAAAAGGATGGGGTTGGTTTTTCTATTTATAGACTAGCTCCTGGAAGAAGAGAAAAATCTTGGGCACGTAAGTACGATAATTAATTATTACAAAAATATATAGTAAAAATAATAATTTTTTTATTGATTAAAATTTATTAGTGGATAATACATTTAGCCGTGGAATGCAATTTACACGTTCATTTGGAGATTTCTATATTAAAAAAAGAGCACCAAAAAGTTTGATATGTAAGTTAAAATAAATTAAAATGATTTTTATTTTTTTATAATTTACTTAAATTAGTTATTTTAATAGCTGAACCAGAAATTGCAGGAAAATTGAATACAAAAGAATTAAATTTGCTTATTCTTTGCTCTGATGGTAAATATTTAGTGATTTGGTTTGAAAGCATTATATGCACATATTCTCACAAAATATATATATATATATATATATTTATGTAGGTATTACAAATCGTCTTAAAGCATATAAAAGATTGCCAACGCAAGTTTTACTAAGTTATATTAAGCAACATATTAATTCAGAAAATCCACTTAAATCAGCTTGTTATGATTTGGTCAAATTATGCGATCTAGTTTCTCAATCAGGATATTGCATTGATGATATGTCAATCTTAGTAATAGTATTTTTAAATGGCAAGACATTAAAACAATGGTGTATAGATGCAACTAAACGTGCTGAAAATCCTGAAGAATGGTTACAATATAAACAAGATGATGATGATATTTCTGATATTTCAGATGAAGATTTAGGTGGAGTTGAATCTCCAGAAAACAATATCGCCTTTGATATTTATGATACTTCAAATCAGTATTCTATTGAAGAAGCTGAAGAATTTGATGATTTGACTGTTCCTGATATTTAAAATGTTGATGTCTGATATTCAAAACTGTCTAAGAGAATATTGATTATAAGAATATTTAAAATTGATTAACTATTCAAACATAATTGTATAACTTTAGTAAACATTGTATAGCAGATCCCTCTCTCTAAGTGCATTGCGCCATCTAGTATGAGTTAAAAGGGTATGATTTATAGAAAGTGGTTGCAAGGGCAAATTATCGAGTTATATTTACGGTGTATGTACTTAGAGAGATCTTGTTTTAAGCATCATATACGTATTAGACCTTCCTAAGTGCAATCCCATAGAAACTACAAAAAATAAGTGCACTTAAAGAGGTAAGAATTTATGAATACTATTAACTCGGGCGAGTAATGGCACGCATTTGCAGGATTATTATAAGATATGCACTAAGAAATATGCACTAGGCTGTATTTAACAATTTATTTTTTTATGCTACATTTAAGATTTTAATATATATCATATAACTTCAAATATTTGAAATTGTACTTTAGATATTTAAAGCTATAGTTTAAATATCTAAAGTTATAACTAATAACTAGAACACAAACATGTGGCTTCACCGCCTGAGTTAATGAATATTCTTTAACTTGATAAATGTGATATTTTGTTAGCAAAGATAGCTTATTACAAATAACTTGTTTAATATATTTTCTTTTTAATTGTAATGATTTAGTTTTATGACTTTTTCTTTTTTGGTATAAATGAACATCTAACTTAATTAGTATCATAATTGTTAAAGCCAACCATATAATATAAAGTGGCATTATACAACTGTATGACAGTATTGTAAAATCTGCATGATCATTTGTTTCTCTGAAATGACTTTTATCAAGTCATTTAGGTCATTTAAAATTTATAATGAGTTACTTTATCGAGAATAAGCAGCGTACATCAGTTCAGTTAGTGTATAAATCGATAATTGTGCCGTGTATATCGTCATCATTGAATTCGCGATTCGAAACATCAGCCGGTGATCTTCCACGCTGCATAAAGAAGGTCGACTGATATGAAATTTAAGTTACCATAATATGGCAGGTTTCTATGTGGGCTCTACGAGGTTTCACTTGGGGGCGGATGCGAATCTAATTTTGCGGATGGAATTGCGGTTTGCATGTAGCGCTCATTATGTTAGGTCCTGATAATGAAGAAATTACCTGATAGCTATAAATTAGGTAATCAGTTAAATTGTACTTAAATGACTTCCTATGTTTATTTACGCAGCTCGATTAAGATTAATGACTGCCTTTCTGAACCAACCGGATTGCTTCCAGCTTAACCATCTTCTCGACCAGTTAACTTCTGTCAAATCGAACGAAACCTTTTGGCTATATCAAAATTTTAGTACAAACCATTGAAACTTTTTAAAAACTTTGTTGAATGCATAAAGATAATATATTAAGAGCTCCTAGGGATCTGATGCAAATGATTTAATTGGACATTAACCAGGCAGTTTGGTTGGGTATCGTCATATACAAAAAGGTTTGAAATCAGTTACAAAAAAAAATACAATAAAACCGATTAGAAACCGTTTAAATTTCGAGACTGACCACAACCCTAATTTTATAGTTCTTGCAAAATAGTTAAAGTAAATTGAAATCTTGTATAAATAGACTAAAAGCGTCGAAATAAATTGAAAATTTATCTAAATCAAGGAAATTTTAATATAGCAGGGTTCAAAAGGTGCACTTTCATGAAAACATCTATTTAATAAATGAGGAGGAATCTCGTTCTCATTATTAAGTAGAATAGTCATAATGACTTCTTTTATAAGTCCTTGTAATCATTAACTCGCCGTTATTTCTTATTATTCCCATTAGAAACCTTGCTCTGAGTACACTGCGCATTCATTATGCATCGCTACCTATTAAATTGATCAAACAAAATGGATGGGGCAAACTCGAATTGATTATTTCAAACAACTTGATTAATAAAATTTTTTTGGGATATCTTCTTGCTATGATAATGCATGGTGATAAATTATCACGAACTCGACAGCTTATCTTACATCAATTAGTGAATATTCTTTTTTACCACCTATTAAATTAACAGAACTAGAAAAGGATGATGGCCTGTGTACTGTATTATTTATTCAATGCTTTCAAAATCTGCATCATAGTGTGTGCTTCATTGTTTTTAGAACAACTGATGAAAGGCAAAATGTACAGGCAGTAATCATGGTATGATGTGTATGGTATATTGCATAAGTTGGAATATTTAACCACATAAAAATTGTTACATAGTTCTGGGCCGAATTTTGTTAGTCATTGTAGCCATTGGTTAAAATTATTTTAATGCTAGCTGAATTAAACAGTTAATGGTTATGTGATTGGAAACTTAGAAACGTACAATCTCTAATATTGTGTAATTAAATTTTTTTTTTCTGAAAGTTCGTACTACCATATTGTACTTTAGGTTCAACATCTTTAAGTTTATATATCTGGTACGTAAGGACTCAGTGTTTTGCATTTTTAATGTCCAAGGCCTTTTTATAATGTCCAACGTCCAAATTTACGTTTAATATAAATTAAAAATAAAATTTTAGTCTGAGATCTTGTCTCTCTGTCTGAGGAAGCTCTATTAAGGCGAAAACTTAATTTACTAAGAGCTACTGCGTTATAACCTTCAAAGAATCCTTGTACTCGCAACAATTGTGTTTGAGTTGTGAGTAGTGCTCCGAATCGGGTCGGGTCAACCCGAAATTTCGGGTCTGGTCGGGTTCGGGTTAGAAATATCTGACCCGAAAATTTCGGGTCGGGTTCGGGTTGAACGTCAACCCGGCCCGGACCCGACCCGAAAATTATCAAATTTATAGATGCGCGAAATTAGCATTTTATGTTTTTTTAAATAAAACAGTCAAGTATGCACCAATCAGATTTCTTCAAACGATCGACACAAAATTGCATATGGGCGGATTTATTTCCGATGTGATTATTGCAAATCTTACGCTGATTGGTTGATTTACATAATTCACTATTAAAATTTAGGGCATCGTAACATAACATAACTTTTCTTAAAAAATGTATTACACTTTGAAACTCTATATTTATATTCAATAAGATCTTAGTTTTCTGGATCCCAAATTCTTTTTTCGGGATCCTAAATTCTTGCTAGTGACAATGTCGAAGGGTAGACAACGTAAAAACACAAAACTATGTGCAGTACACGGCAAAGACCTTAAAAAAATAACAAGACAAGTCTCTTTGTTCTGGTATGAAACCTTTCGTATTTATATTCAACAAGACCTTATTTTTCTGGATCCCAAATTTCTTTTTCGGGATCCTAAATTCTTGTTAGTGACAATGCTAAGAGGTAGACCACGTAAAATGCAAAAAACTTTTGTAGTATTGTCGAAGATCTTAAAAAAATACAAGCACAGGTATTGTGGTATGAAATTTTCATGTTTATATTCAACAAGACCTTAGTTTTCAATCATTCTAAAATAGTTTTATTTATTTAATCCATTTTTGCATTTACAGAAATTAGTTGTCAAGTAAGTTAGCGTCGATGTGATTTAGATCAAATGTGTAAGTGATATTATTTGATATTATTTAACTAAAGGTTGTAATGCGTTTCTGGTAAAATGGCTATGACGGAAAAATAGAATAGAATTGCTATTTAAAATATATAATAAAAGTAAAGCTTCGCTAATAATAAATAATTCATAAATCATAATCATTTATTCATATATTATTATTTATTTGATTGGTCGCCGATCACGTTTTGATCACCAAATATCACAGTGATTAATTTGATTGGTTAATAACTTGGTTTGATCATCATATGTGACAAAATCGAATATTGTGATATATCGAATGGAAACAAATCCGCCCATATGGTCACTCGATTTTTGATTGGTTAACGGTCGTAGATCTGCAAAATTTGGCCAACATTACTAATTTCTGGCCATAATTAACTTTTGTTTTTTTTTTCATTACAAAAATAGAAATTTCTGGCCACATTATGGTATTGACCTAGGAACAATTTTTATTTAATAGGCTCTGTGGTTACATTGGTAGAAATCTGAGTAATTCTGTCCAAATTTTTTGTTCATCGTTCTTAGCCAATCAATATCGAGAATCTGCTGTGAAAATCACAATTTTTAAAAAACTGTCGATACATAACTTGAAATTTTGACTATGAAACCACATTCTGCGCTCTAATATAAAAAAAATCTAATTTCTAATCTAACTTTAATGTTTATTTTTTACTTTAAAATATTACACTTATTGAAATTAGTTTGATTATGACCCACGGGTCTGTAGTGCAGTGGTTAGCGTTCCCAGGTTTCAAAACATAAGGTTGCGAGTTCAAAACCCACGGGGGATCTTTCTCTGCAATAACGTAATGGAATATAAAGTAATAAAAAAATAATATTGTTTAACGGCCCACGCTCTTTCTTAAGATGAACG